TAATTAATTAATTAATTAATTAATTAATTAATTAATTAATTAATTAAAGGAGAAAATATATACTAACACATAATGGAGAAAAGTATTTTAACTTTTGAGAAAATTCAGGGATATTTGGAAACAATCCATTCAGAAATTTCTCTTAAAATTGTCTGCTACTATAAAAATAGTTTTAAAAGAGGTGACAGAACAGCATACAATTGAGAATCAGGCTTTCAATTCCACAAATATTGAAAAGCTGTTTGGGGTTTGGATTTAAAAATGACAAGTTACAAGAATGATATGGAAAAAGATGTTACACTAGATTTACAAATAAAACCAGCTGTCTTATCATCAAGACAAGAGACAGCATACTCCAGACCAGGACTGTGGAAAGAGGAAGAGATTTAGGATAACCACTCCCTAGAGTTTCCCAGGGTTTAGGGCAGGGTAATATAGAATTAGTCTGGCAAGATTCTGTCCATATGGTATAAGGAAATAAAAAATTGTGCTATGATGTTTTGGGGCTAGGCCTGACAATAATATTGGGTAAGGATTTAATCTAACTCTTCAGCTGTTATAAAACTATAGGCTAGCTTGAAAATAGATTTCTCACGACACATCTGGTTGGACCTGTAATTCTAGCAGTTTATTAATTGTGAGACAGAAAAAGAGTAATATAATTAGAGAAAAATTCTAATATTTATAACTATCTTGAAAAAAACATATCTAATGTTTCTCAATCATCACGAATAGACTTGATAAAAGGTACTTATTTATATTTATTGCAAATGACAAAAGTAAAACAATAAATTTCATCTTGGAATAGGTTCCCTCCTTCCTGAGAACCTGTTACTATAGTCTAACGAAGTTGCTTTTGTCAAATTTCTTGAAATTGCTACTATTTTGAGCAGCTATATGCTCTCTTTGGGAATCTTGTAGGCTTTATTATGCAATAAAGTCTCTCAGCAAACCAGTTGTTCACGTAAGTACAGCCCCCCTCTGAACAAGATACCTTATTTGTGATCTGTAATCCTTTACAGTGTTTGTACTCAACTGGCCTGTTTTTAAATTTGTTTTTGCTAGTTTTGTTGCACTTATTAAGGCTTTTAACTGTAATAAAAATAATGTATAATTAGTTAATTGTTATTAGTGAATTAGTATTAACAAGTAGAAAAGGCAGTTTGTAAAACTGATGCATATATTTATAGTGGAAAATGTCAAATTTTGCAACCATGATGTAATAACAGAAAATAAAAAGAACACTCATAGACATTCTGCATAATTCCAGCAGAGATACTTGTTTCATAAAAAAATAAATAATCCTAAACTTCAGTGTACAACAACTAAGCAATTTGACTTCATTCAGCTAGCTATTATTATTAAAAGGACTTGGCACTAGAGGATAATTGGTTTCTCTAGAATCTTTTTTTATTTTCTAGAGATTCAATTTTAGGAAACCAAACAAATTATGGCCATAAATAGTTCTGTATATGGTAAATGGAATTTGTCATCACAATGTTCTAAAAGAGATATCTATTATCCAGTGTAAATATTTATATTATCATACATTGACTACAGTTATATACGTCCTATTACAGGCAGTCCTTGACTTACAATTGTAATTGAGCATCCAATTTCAGTTGTAAGCAGTAACAGTCATAAAGCAAAACACCACATGACTTCACCTGGTTTTAGCTTTTTGTGGCAGTTGTTAAGTGAATGTGGCAGTCATAAATCAAATACCATAGTTTTTAAATGAATGCTGCAATTGTTAAGTGAATCCATTGTTCACTAAGGGGTGTTTTGTCAGAAACCAGAAGCAAACGCTGGTTTCCAGTGAAACATTGTGGCTGCAGAATGCTACAAGGGCTGGTTCCCAAGTGCGCAAAATAAATATGTAGCATGAATGCATTCAATTCAATTGTTTTTAAACAAAAACAGTTCAAAGGCTGGCAGGGAGATGGGAGGAAACAACAATTCCCCACATATTTCTAGGAAATATATTTTAGACTATTCTGAATGTTAATTTGACATATATAAATTTAATAATAAATTTATTGTCTCATCTATGTTGTAATATTGTAAGCAATATAGAAATAGAGCCCTAATCAAATCAAAATTTCAAAATGAATATGTACAGATATTATGACAATATATATTAAAGTTAGGGATATCTCTAGTTTTCAAATTGAGACAATCTGAAGTCATTTAAACAACATCCTTTTAAACATCATTATATTAAAATATAACAAAAGTATTCTCTTACTTTTTCAGAAAGCAAGTTAGTAACATTTTGCTCTTGTCTTTTCTGAAAACATTCATAAATATCAAGCAACTTAACAGCCAACACTTGCTCACAGTTAAAAAGAGAATGATGACTGAAGACAATACTTGATATGTTAAGATCTAGTTGATACATTTCACAGACATCAAACTTGGTACAATTTTCCAACTCTGCTTGCGTTGCCTATTTTGAGAGATGAAAAACACAAATTTTTCTCTTAAAGAAAGAAATTCTGAGCAACAATACAGGCTGTACTTCTATCTAAGCATATTTTTATAGCAGGTTCTGTAAATGAATCCAAAGTGAGAAAAACCTGTTTGGCCTGACAGATAAAAACTGTTTATGAATCAACATAGAAAATTATGTTTTTCTCACACCATTTCAGTATTAAGAATTATTTCAACCTTAATTATTAGATATGAGACTGGACTAGTTTTTTGGTATAAATAAACAGCAATATGTGACAAAGCCATGGATGTGATAGGTACATTTATGTCCCCTAAAACATTTGAAACAAAAACCCAAAGTTGAAAGGCCTGAACAGGCAGCCAGGCTTTAAAAACTAATTCAAAATGAGCAGAGATCTCTTAAATGTTTGCAGCTTGCTCATTCATGTCTCCTTCAAACCAAATGGAAAGTGATGAAGCAATTATATCATAGCATCTCCACCTATCTTATGAAATTCCAAATGCTAGTGCAGCCTTTGCATAAATAACACCACCTCCACAAATTGTTATTTAATTATGGTGAAAAAAACAATTAAAATATACTGTAAGTGTTCCTGAACACATGTAACACTTCTAGCAATGCATACTGAATGTTATCCGATGAAATATCCCTTTGTGAAGTAGTGTGAAACAATAAAAACAAACCTTTCTGTATATTGTCTTTAATTCTGTGGCAGTCTTAACAGGGAAAGACGCTATATGATGGCTTGATTGCTTGATTGGAGAAGGTAATGATATTATTTCCCCACTTTCTTCAAACCAACCTTTTGCCTTGATAAGGATGATTCAAAAGCATAAAGAAAATCAAGCAAACCAACATAAATTTTAAAAAAACCAAATGTTTAGAAAGTAGTTATTTAAAAAAAAAAGCAAAATCATTATATCTACCCGTTCTCGCTGAAGGCGATTTTCCATTTTGTGGTACATCTTCCTAGGAATATAAGGCTTTCTTGGAATGTAAAATCCTTCTTCTTCTAGGAGTCGTGGCAACATATTGCTTGGTAGCTTACAGCTATGTATAACTGAGAATAATCAAGATGATTTAAAGAATGATGTATACTAATTAGTTTTCTTCCCTTTACTGGTTACATACTAAGAAAAGAGGTATAAATTTATAATAGCAGCCATATTTATCTGCTACAAATGACACTCATAACAAAGTGAATTGCCAGTAAAAATTTATTTTCTCCAACTTTTGCTCTTCTAAGCTTCTTACTGCTCTCATATAGTTATGGAAAGATTAAGAGAATCTGAAATGTCATAAGATAGAGACAATTGGGTACAACAATTGGGTACAAAAATATTGTACTTACCAATTATGGCATTTCCTTATCTGAATATGCTACCAAGATTTATCAGAAGTATCATTTTTGATATTTACCCACTTTTAAAAAAATACTCTTTAAAAAAGGGTAATGTTTTCCTCTTGACCCATAGCATGGAGACAAAAAACAGCTACAAAAGGCTCATCTCTGTTCCAGCTCAAAGGGTTTATGCACGATGTTCTTGAAACTTTCTTTTGGTGCTCTTTTGCTGTTCTCTTGTCCTTTCAGGCCTAATCAGAACAGATTCATCAATTTTTTAAATAAAAAAGTCAGCCACTAGACAAATCAGACACTGAATTCATATTTCTTCTTTGGAAAAATTGGCAGTGATCTGCAGACCATTACTTTAAAATTCATTTTACTATATTATTTTTTTCATATTTTTAAAACAAAAATAAAGACCTAGGAAAAATGGGGAAAATACCAAAATGGTTGGAAGTCTAGAACAACTCTTCTATAAAGAAAACATATAGCATGAAGAACACTTAGCAGTTGCAGTAGAATTGCCTTTGCGCAGCTTCAAAACTTCAGTTTTCCTGGATCAGGAGTTCCTGAGCTCAGTCATTCAAGCCCTGATTGTCTCACATCTGGACTACTGCAATGAAGCTCTACATGGGGCTATCCTTGAAGACCATTCAGACGCTACAAATGGCGCAGAATGAAGCAGCATGGGCAACCTTTGGGGCTCCTAGAATGGCCTAGTTACACTGTTCTGCAAGCTGCACTGGCAGCCGGTCTGCTTCTGGGTACAATTCAAGGAGCTGGTTATTATCTATAAAGCCCTGCATGGCATGGGTCCAGATTACTTGAATAGGCATGCTGTGCATCCTGTCAGTCAAGTAATTTTGGCTGGCAGGGTCCAGGAGAAGTCTTCTCTGTCATGGCTCATGTCCTTTGGAACATCTTACCCCCTGAAGTGAGGTCTGGTCCCATCCTCCTTTTGTAAGCATCTGAAAACCTGACTTTGCCAATTGGCTTTGGGCACCAATGGGGAAGTGCCATGCTAAAGGTGATTAATAGACAAATACCAGATCCCACTTCACCTTTTGCACATTTTGTTCCCTCATCCCCATTATGAGATGATGTAAAATGATATCTGATGAATAGCTGTGGTGTTATCCCACAGTATTACAAACCAGGATCATACTATGCAAAAAAGTTAATATAAAGAAATGACTGCAAGAGCTAGATGGCACAAGTATTCTTTCCAGTGGCAATACTATTAAAGGCAGGAGGGAAGAATCATTAAAACAGATTTTTTTTTCATGGGAGCCACATTGGGGGTAAGAAATTAAGGAAATAACTGGTCCTTATCTCTGTGTTCATGAATGGGAAATGTCCATATGGCTCTTTGATAAATAAGAAAATGCTGTAATGTCATTGGTGCAGTTTTGCATCCCTTGAGGTGCAGCCTTGAATGTAGAAATAAGACAATGAAATTACACAAAATCTATCATGATTTCTATCTCATCAAGATACTATGCCAATTATGCCCATAATCTAACTGGTTTTCATTCATGATTTGAAGAGGGCAGGATAATGTTGATATGCCATGTTTTGCTACCAAGCAGCTCCTTCCTAAGTTGCTAGATATGACCTCTAATACAGCACTGAGATTCTTCTGTCTATTAATATTTAATGGTTTCAGTGTTCATAATAAGTCAGAATATTCCACAATGACAAAGAACTCATACCTCAATGAAAATGTTGGTCCTGAATTGGGGACACAACTTTGGCCTGTTCTTAAGAATCGCTGCATTTAAAATTGTTCTCTCCTCCTTCTACATTAAGACATTTTACACAAGCACAGTATATAGATTTTTATGGACGGGCAGGGGTAGCACTTTTTTTGACATGATGCCATTATGCCATTTTTTGCAGCATGAAAATGTTCCCTAGCGTTTACAAACAGTTTTATGGTGAAGTTTACAGCAGTATAAATAGGTTTAGCAAAAATGAAAACTACATTAAATTCTGCACCTGATAAAAGTTCTGTCCTGAATCAGCAGATAGACATATTTATATTTATGTCTATAAAAACAGTATCAATGTTATATTATCTTTGGAAATTTATATCACCTGGTGATGTGTTTAGAATAAAGAGTTGGTTCCATCCCTTTTCCTTGTCTACTTTATTGAAATTACAGGCAGGAGATTTTACTTCAAGTAATTCTGTCAACATTTCTTTCACATGGACAAGCAGTGGAGTTTGCTCATTTAAGCTACAGATGTTTTGAAGGCAGCCTTCTGTTGATTTCTATTGTTTATCGTGAAGAAAAACAATGTGAAATAATAAATTCAATGTGAAATAATAAATAAGTGAATAAAAACTAACATGAAACCATATCTCAATTGAATTATTTGAATTGATATAGGTAATTCCTAGAAAATAATATGTTCATAAATGAAATCCAGTCTGAATGAAAAGCAATGATATCCATTGTTTTAAATTCCCATGTACCTTCAAAGTTTGGCTGGAAAATTTTTAATCATTTGGAGTAGATGTTGAGAACAAACAGAATTCCAGGAGGACAATACTGGATTCTACTTTTGTACACATTAAATATTGGGATAAAGGTGTCAAAAGAGCCACATTACTACCCCTCAAAAGATGTGTAATAGAAAGGCTATAATTACAAATTACACTATATCTTCTAATTTTAAATATACAAATTTGATAATTTGGATTTTGATTTTTCAATAGTATTAACAAAGAACTATTCTATTTGAAATAATTTAAGATAATTATTTATTTGATAATTTCTGTTGAATTTGATTTAACTTTACAAATTTCATCAGATGTGCATCTATGACCTACCTTCAGGACAGAAATAAACAATTTCTCAGTATTCATATTTCTGTTTTTTAAATGTAATTCATCAATACTTCAAATTTTGTAACTCATTTAAAATAACTTATTTAATAATTCAACAACTTATTAAACTAATGATTCAATCCTATATACATTGAACAAGGAGCAGACTAAGGATATAAAAATGTTTTGGACTGAAACAATCTGGCTCTGGAACATTTTTTTTTTTTTTTTTTGGCTTTGAACAGGATAATGTGTACATTGTGGAATTAGTTTATGCACTTCTAGAAGTTGATTATTTGAAATCAAAAGTGGTCCAAGTATTAGACACACAAACCAAGTAGTACATATCATTTTTTTTTACAACAGCTTCTCACTTCTGCAAGGGGCTATGTACCTCCTATCTAAAGAAGAATACTTATAGTTCAATATAATTTATTAGCTCTCATTAGGAGCCAGTACTGGCAAATCCTGTATAGTAAGAGGATGAAAATGATACACGCTTGCTGCACTGAACAATTAAAGCCAATGGTTGCTACTTCTTCCATTTTTAAAAAATTATTTTAAGAAAGTACAATGCAGCAACTTTAAGAAAAAGGCTGAAAAAGCTAGGCTGTAAAAGACCTTATTACTTCAAATCTAATTGCAAATGCACTGTTTTTATGCATAAATACATAATATAGTGTAATTACATGTAAGTATATATTACTTCCATGATTATAATGAAAGATTTCCAAGAAACATACAAAAGCATACCGTGTTTCTCCAACAATACGGCCTCCACCAATAGGAAGACCCATCATGTTTTCTAGGCATAAAATCAAATTAAGCCCCTCCCCCCAAATTTAGGCCTAGTTTAAAACATGCAAAATAGGGGGAAGGGTGGGGGGACTTGCCATTTGGAGTGCCGTTGGAGCTACCACCGCCGTTTGGAGTGCCCTTGGAGCTGCTGCCGCCGTTTGGAG